TGATCCTATCAACACTTCATGATCACACAGGCTGGTGTGCTTCTTCCATGTGGGCTTTGTTGCTCCTCAGTTAGAAGGTTGCTTATCTTCAAGCCTTTAAGGCTATATATTTTTATATGAAAATTTTGGTGTAACAGTGATCTGAAGAAATTTCTGTAGAACAGTAAAATCTTGCTACTAGCAACAATTAAAACCACACTGCAAAAAGTGGGTAAAGGAAAAAACTATTTTTTTCTAGAAAGTTGATGCTATTCACCCAAAAAATCCACTGAAAACAAACTCAAATTTATGCATATCTAGTTACTTTAAAATCAACCCAAATGAGCAGACTTTTAGCCACTTAGTGCCTTTCTGCCTTATATATATATATCCCAAGAAACTGTACCCAACAGCTGCTAAAGCTAAGCCTCTATAGTTATAAGGACTCCCCACCTTGCTACAGTAAGAAGTAGGTACCAAGATGTAGTTAAGCACACCTCTCTTTGCCTCTCCCACTGTTCATGTCCTCTTTCTCCTTCTTGTGGCACAAAGATGGCCTCTGACAAAATGCCTGCTGTGTGGGAAGGTAATCACCACCTATAACTGTCAATGTGTCAGCTGCAATAAATAGCTGTATCACACTGTTATCTCATCATCATATCTTTTGCCTTATCAGCCCCCATTCCCTCAAGTTCACTCCAAACCCTACTGCCAGCTTCAGAAACTTTGCCAAGGAAAGAAGCAGATCAAACATCCCTGACTTAATTTGCCACCGAGTATGGGGAAGTTCAAGCCTAAGAGAACTCTCAAAAATGACAAAACCACAAACCTCTCCTGGCATAGACAGACCTGGAAAACATACTGAGCAAAATCAACCCATCACAAAAGGACAAATATTATAGAAGAAAGGAGAAAAAAAATTGTAACAACAACAAAATAAAGACTTTCATACAACAGGGAACAGACTCTGGAGATTGTCAAGGTGAGAGAGGCAAAGATGGGAAGATAAATCAATAGCTAGACTGTTGTCCAATTTTGACTTGGTTGAAGTGGAAGGTGGCAGTCCACATGAGGAAGAGAAATCAAGGAGCTGTGAAGCGTAAACCAAGAGGGGTGGGGTGGCATTGATAAAACATTTAAACTGTTGAATACAAAGTTGACTACCTTACACTTATAAAAGTGTAAACCAACTTTTATAACTAAATTTTTATTTTAAAATGATGGAGATTATTCTGAGAACAATTAGTTCTTACAACATGGCCCTGCTCGATACATTCCCTCACAAAGGAGATGTGGAAGATATGAGTGCTACAGCAAAGTGTGATGAAGAACCCAGATGACGCCAGCAATCAGGAAGACTAGTGTTGGGGTCTTTAAGGCTTGTCTTGAAATAAGGAACCATTTATGTGAGACATCAACTAAGTCCCCATAGAAGAAGGACACCAGCCT